GCGTAGAAAGTATATTCTACAAACACCCAGCAATCCAGTACAATCAAGCATACAACTCTCGTTTATTTATACAACATAACAACGTCCTTGAGACAGTTAAGAAAATAGCATACTAAAATACACTGTGGCCAATCACAGCCATTGATTTTCCTGGTGGGAGTTGAAATCTCAAGGTCATTTGATCAGCCCCTGCTGGCGAACGTGAAAACCGAAATACGGCATTATCAAGCGAATTTTGGGGATCTAACATCCCCAACATATACTGAGCCTTTGACCCAAAAGTTAAATCCTCAAGCCCGTAGAGAAACGTCAGGCAATGCAGTCACATGATAGTCGGCGATCAACACGAAGTTCGGAAGCCATTCGATTTATAAGAATCTTGAAGCCCATATGAAGGTTTTCCAAATGCTCTAGGTGGATCATCTCTACCCACCGAGCCGGTTTAAGCTTTGCCAGATATTTGCTTTTCGTCCTCTTAATCTCGTAAGCGACATACGTACCACGAGTAGGCAGTGAGTAGGATTTTCCTGGCAGTGACTAAATACGCATGGCCATCTGAGAGCATTTCCAAGAGAACGGACTCACCTTACTTTCAGCCGTACCAGGGCATTTCGTAATCTATGTATAAAATTCTGAAATTAATATGTTCGTGCTAAAAGCGACTCTTCATACTTTCAATTTGTATTACCCACTTGGAAGGACTTTAAACCTGATTGGTTAATTTGCTCTTTTAGTGTACTATTTTGTAACTCTTCCAAGGAAACTAACCGAACATGAATAATTTTTTCTTGTTTAATGACTGTTTATCAGTAAAACTGTTTGTAATAGATACATTTCAAGGATACAATACCGAAGGTCCCGGGTTCGAATCCTGAGAGGTTCAGGAGTCGTGCATGCGCAATGCTGATGAGTCCCATACGAGGACGAAACGGCCGTCATTCAGTGCTTCCAGGTTTCTAAAGGTGGCCTAACAATGATTGATTGATGATTTCAAATGTGTAAAAGCACAAATCTCCAAAACTCTAACTGGAAATATATATATATATATATATATATATATATATATATATATATATATATCATTATAGCGTTGTAGAGATTGTCAAGTTTCATTGAAATTATGAATCGTTCGATGTTAAACTAACATCAGAAACCTGGAAGCGCTAAACGGCTGTTTTTTTCCTAGTAAACGACTCATCACTGGTTCGTATCCATCAACCCTGTGGCGTGTGAAGGAAGCACTTGCCCACCGAAGACAATAGATGAGGTTATGCAAGCATGTGAATTCATCGAACTTAGACATGAACACCGTTGGATGCGCGCTCAATGGTCTAGAGGTTAAACGTTCGTGCGCGAAATGGAAGCTCATGTGTTCGATTCCTGCGAGCGTGGGTGGGTTATGGATACGAACTGCCAATGAGTCTCACATTGAAATGATCAAACCGCTGCTGTCCAATACTTCCGAATTTCTAACACGTTATGCCTGCACGTAAACACGTCAACTTGGTATACTTGAACTATTGCAGGTTTATGTAGTCAGAAAACGAGAGTGAGGATCGAGGATCCGGTGACACGAAACGCTACTCAAATCCGATTATCCAAACCCCCATATTTAGTAAAAGAATACAAGATTTGATATGAAGTAGAACCTGTATTCTACAAGCATCCAGAAAGTACGAGGTCCGAATCCAGAAAAGGATCAGGATCCCGGACTAGGGATCCGGAACCGGGTCCTGGTCATAAAACGTTACACATAATGCGTATTTATATATTTAGGTCGAATAGGAAACAGCATCGAAGTCTGTGACATTGACAGTTAAGACGACCAATAGGAAGCCACATTTGAAGTGACATTGATAGTCAGGACAACAACCAATAAGAAACAACATTGGAGCACGTGACATTGATATCTACTAGGACGATCATAAAATTGACCAATAGGAATTAACCAATAAGAAGTGACCAATAACTAACTCTCTTCGGATATTGGATGAATACGCAAACATAACAATAATCGATATGCAATTTCAAAATATTTATCTTATTATCATACCATATAAAAAAATTCACTTACCTAATGAAATAATATTATTTGCGATTGTTTTTAAAAAATGCAATAAAATCGGTGTACCCAACGAGGCGATAAATACAATATGTTCATTTAAAATTTGTTCTAATAAACCAAAATGACATGCTGCTAATTTTGGATGATCCTGTGTATATTAGAATGAAAATGAAATTTAGAAAAAAAGAAAAAAAGTAATATACATATATTTTCAATTAGAGTTATGAAGATTAGTGTTGTGGTGTGAGCTACTTATAAGTAGTATATGACGTGAGCGTCAACGTAATGTCTGGCAGCAGAAGATGGGGGAAGATCAAGAAAGGAAGAGTTAGAAGAACACAATGGAATTCGTGTATGAAACACATGAATAGTGAAAATGGATTGATGTTTGGCGACAGGAACAGTCCAGTTCGATAGGATGAAATGATATTTTGCAAATGAACGATTTACAATATGGTTTTCCGATTTTACTGAGTAATTCTGTAATTTTCGCTAAATACAATTCGGTTGCCCCACCTGTGTTCTCGTTCCCTACAGTGTCTTTACACATTTGAAACTATCAATCAATCATTGTTAGACCAATCCATTAGAAACCTGGAAGCACTGAAAGACGGCCGTTTCGTCCTGGTATGGGACTCATCAGTAGTGTGCAACTACGACTCCTTCAACTCGAAGGGTTCGAACCCGGGACCTTCGGTATTGTGCGCGAACGCTTAACCATTTGACCACTGGGCCGGCCGACATCCAACAGTATTAATGTCTAACCATGATCAATATAGGGATTTTGCACAACCTCGCCCATTGTCTTCGGTAATTACTGCGTACACTCGACAGGGTTGAACCCCACTGGTCAAGCCTTCTCAACTAGAACTCCGAGAATCTCCTCACCAAGCTAGTCACTAGTAAGCACATTATTGTGTGTATTATGAGTTATTCACATGATGTATATCATTGTGTATTCAAGGTCAAAGCAGGAGAGAAAGATCAAAGAACAGACAGATTACATCAAGAATTACAGACAAACATGAAAAAGATGAATAACTAACTGTTCGATAGAAATGGAAAAGAACACCAGGGACAGAGTAGGTTCAGTCAGTCAGTCAGATGAAACGTAGAACTTCGTACGTAACTACATCAGTTCATGTCGCCATACCACATCAGCACTGAGACGCCATTGTCAATTCAAATCCAATAGTAGAAGAGGTGGTAAAGGTATTAGGAGTAATCGGAGAGGTTAGGATTAAAAGATATTATTCAAGAAGTATGATTTAATGAGAAAAGTTTAAAAGTCAAAACTAGAGTTGTTGAAGAATCCAGAAGGTTAGGATTTGAGAAAACACAAAGAATAAATGCAACGGCACCATTGCGAACGATTTTGAGCCATGTCATTCATGGTCTCTAACCATCGATTATTATCATCTCGCGGAACCCAACCAGGTAGTCGACAATTACCGACATGACTCGGTCCACTTGTCAATGACCTAACTTTTTTCCAACCAATTCCTACACTACAAAACAAAGCTCGACGAGGCAGTCGGTGGTTGGGCATACGCAACACATGTCCCAACCACCCCAACTGATGAAGTGTCACCACTGCGTCTATTGATCTGCCAATAGACAGAGTAGGTTGGAGAATACCGGTCGTTGGCTTATGTTTCCATTTGAAGTTAGAGGCTTAAGTAAGACGTGACTAGTGGAGTTCAACCTTGTCGGGTGTAGGCAGTAACTAAGTACCAAAGCCAAATGGGTGAGGTCGCACAAAATCCCTAGATCAATCAAAGTTACACATTAACACCGTTGGACGCCGGCCGGCTCAGTGGTCCAGAGCACACAAGACCGAAGGTCCCGGGTTCAAATGCTGCGAGGTGCAGAAGTCATGGGTGCGTATTGCCACTGATGAGTCCGATACTAGGACGAAACGACTGTCTTTCAGTGATTCCAGGTTTCTAATGGTAGTCTAACAATGACTGATTGATAATTTCAAATGCAGTTAAGCAAGTTAGTTAGTCAGTTAGAAGTAGCCTTTCAAAAACATATTCGAATAGGAATAAACACTTCATCATTTTCAAGTCAGTCAGTCAGTTACAACGTAGAACCTACTACGTCCGTACATCAGTTCAAATGCCTATCATCACATTAGCACAGAGAGATAGAATTTTTAATTCAATTCCCATAATGATAGAGATAATCAATGTATTAGCGATAAAGGAGAAGATTAGAGTTTGAAGAAATTATTCAAGAAGTATATATAATCCAGTAAAATAAACTCAAAGAGAGAACGATAAAGATAATGAGGAATATCGAAAGTTTAGAAATTGAGAGAACACAAAGAGTAGAGATCTCGTCGTTAAAAGCCTCTCTCTAACAACTATCGGTTACGATGATCTCGTGGATCCCCTAAACCAGTTATTAGTCTACAACCACCACCAATCTCATGATTCAGATCGGTTGTCATGGATTGGATGAATTTAAAATTGACTCAAGGTTTCCAGTGCCAAAATGTAATTCTGATTGGTGCTTTGTATATTTGTCACGTGAAATCGGGGTTATAATTAACTTTAAACCACTATAGCAGATATGATTTTAGAGATATAATTAAGTTAATATCCAGAAAATAATCGGAAAATAAAATAAATTGAGAAAATGACCAATATTTTTTGATAAAAAATCCCTAGATCAATCAGAGTTAGACATTAACACCGTTGGATGCCGGCCCAGTGGTCCGATGGTTGGGAGTTCGCCTACAATGCCAAAGGTCCCGGGTTCGAATCCTGCGAGGGGCAGGAGTAGTGGATGCGCACTGCCACTGATGAGTCCCATACTAGGACGAAACGGCCGTCTTTCAGTGCTTCCAGGTTTCTAATGGTGGTCTAACAATGATGATTGATCAATGATTTCAAATGTGTAAAAAAATACCATAATTACTAATCGTATCTAGTTATGCAAAGTTATTTTACCATTCAATCACGAGTGAGTTGCTTCAGGATTGTGGGATTGCGACGACACCTGAATGAAATAGTGATAGGAAGTGAAGTGGTTGAGTATGTTGACCGCTTCAATTATTGTGGAAGTCTCATCAGTGTTGATGGTCTGGTGTTCGACAAAATCTCAGCGCGGATACAGAATGCTAGATTGGCTTTTGTCAACTTGCGTCACTTATGGCCTAGGCGAGATATCCGTTTGCTAACCAAAGGACGAGTCTACTGCGCAGCAGTTCGCTCTGTCCTGCTTTACGGATGAGAAACATGGCCAGTAAGCGTAGAAGACATTCGTAGGTTATTAGTATTCGGTTACAGATGTCTTCGAAGCATTGCTCGTGTATCCTGGGACAATCGAGTAAGCAATGCTGTTGTTAGGAAACGAGTACTAGGTAAAGATGGGGTAGATCAATAGATGAAGTGGTGAAACTTCATCGTTGGGACATGTGTTACGTATGCTCAATCACCACACGTATAAAAACAATGACAAGTGAACTGAGCCATATTAGTAGGCGTAGACTACTTGGTTGGGGTCCGCGAGACAATATATATATATATATATAGAACTGATGGTTAGAGACTATGATATGGCTCAAAGTCCTTTGTAACGGTGCAGATGCATCCATTCTTTATCTCCTCTCATGGCCTCAGAACCTTTTCTTGTCTCGTTCTAAATTTATTTTACTGGATTAATACTTCTCCAATCATAATATATCTTGGATGCCTTAACTTCTCCAGTACCGCTAATACTGTGGCGTGAGCTACTTATAAGTAGTATATGACACGAGTGTCAACGTAATGTCTGGCAGCAGAAGATGGGGGAAGATCAAGAGAAAGGAAGAGTTAGAAGAACACAATGGAATTTGTATGAAACGCATGAATAGTGAGTGACAATGGATTGAGGTTTTGCAACAGGAACAGTCCAGTTCCATAGGATGAACTGATATTTTGCAAATTAACACGATTTACGATATGGTTTTCCGATTTTACTGGATAACTCTGTAATTTTCGTTAAATACAATTCGGTTGCCCTCACCTGTGTTCTCGTTCACTACATTTGGTGTCGCTGCCCGCTCGAAGGAAGGAGCTCCCGTGGCCGAAGGAGTTGGAGGACGGAGATTTGCGGAGCTTCCTGGAGGAGTTTGAGGCCGCGGTGGAGCTGGTGGGTGTGAAGGGACCCGGGGCGGAGTTGGCGATGCTGGGGACGCTGCCGGGAGGTGAGGCGAAGGCGGTACACGACAGCCTTGACGGTGCCGCTGGGGAGACGGTCACCGGGCGGCTGATGACGGAGTTCGACAGCCCAGTGGACAGGGAGAAGGCACTGCAGGGGTTCCGGTTGGCGAGGCTGTCGGCTGATGGTGACCCGCTGCTGCTTGCTGAGGAGCTCATCAGATAGTTGCGCCGTGCCCTGCCGAATATCGATGAGGAGTCGGAGGCACAGTTATTGGTGTCGCCATTTATCGAGAGTGTGCCTGCTACCATGTCCCAGCAGCGGGAACTGGTAAACACCACACGTTGGATAGATGCCGTACCCATTCCAGACCAGCGGGAAAGAACAATGACCGAAGTGGTAATCCGGCATATTGTAGCGTGTCACGGAATACGGAAGGCGATATTAACTGGTCAGGGTCCATGTTTTGAAAGACTACGACGACAGCTTATTAAAAGGGGGGACGAGTGTGGTGTGAGCTACTTAAAAGTAGTATATGACGTGAGTGTCAACGTAATGTCTGGCGGCAGAAGATGCGGGGGGAGATCAAGAAAGGAAGAGTTAGAAGAACACAATGGAATTTGTATGAAACGCATGAATAGTGAGTGACAATCGATTGATGTTTTGCAACAGGAACAGTCCAGTTCGATATGATGAACTGATATTTTGCAAATTAAGGATTTACGATATGGTTTTCCGACTTTACACTGAGTAACTCTGTAATTTTCGTTAAATACAATCCGGTTGCCCCACCTATGTTCTCGTTCACTACAATACTTCTACTACCTCTACCACTATGGCAGTTGAATTGATAACTACATCTCCGGCCTAATGTGGTATGACAACTTGAAATGATGTACGTACATAAGAAGTTCTATGTTGTCATTGACTGAATGAGTAAGCGAGTATACTAACAATAGAGATCATAGTTATTAACCAATTATAATATATGACATTTTCATAATTATGACAGAAACAATAGAATAGAATACAACAGAATGCTTACATGTAATTCCGTGTCATTTAAAGACAGCAACAGCTGAACACCAACTTCCATAGATTTTTCCAATGAATTATCATTAAATAAACTGAATACACCGAAATTAATTAAATTCCCACTAAGACACATTTTCAATAAATTCAAAGTTGCCATAATTGGTTTTAATTTAATTTCATAGAGAGAATTTTTTGGTACATGTTGATATGTATTAAAGATTAACTGAAGACCTTTTTTATATGTAAAAAAATGAGAGAATAAAAGAAGTTTATCATAAAAAGAGAATAGAAAATAGTTGAAAAGATTAATGATGTTTAATAATTAAAGATAATTTGAGTCTGGAAGTGACTTTAAGCAATCAATGGTTTTGAGTTGTTTGGTACGAAAATTTGTTATGAGTGCCACGGTATCAACTGGACAGTTAGGACGCAGCTGGACGATTTGGACTTCGCAGATGATCTAGCTCTTCTATTGCACACGCAACAACAAATGCAACAGAAGACGAACAGTGTAGCAGTAGCAGGTCTCAACATACATAAAGGAAAAAGCAAAATTCTCCGATAAAACACAACATGCACCAACCAAATCACTCTTCATGGAGATGCCTTGGAGGACGTTAACAGCTTTACATATCTTGGTAGCATCATCGACAACCAAGGTGGATCCGATGCAGATGTGAGGGTACGGACTGGCAAAGTAAGGGATGCATTTCTACAGTTGAAAAATATCTGGAACTCCAAACAACTTTCAACAAAAACAAAAATCAGCATTTTCAATATAAATGTCAAGACAGTTCTACTGTATGAAGCAGAAACATGGAGAACTACCAAAGCCATCATCCAAGTGTTTATTAACAGCTGCCTACGCAAAATACTGAAGATTCGTTGGCCAGACACCATCAGCAAAAACGTACTGTGGGAGAAAACAAACCAGATTCCAGTGGAGTAGAAAATCAAGAAGAAGCGGTGGAAGTGGATAGAACACACACTACGAAAAGCACCTAACTGCGTCACGAGACAAGCCCTCACATGGAACCCTCAAGGCAAAAGGAAAAGAGGAAGGCCAAGGAACACATTACGCCGAGAAATAGAGAAAGATATGAGAGGAGTGAACAAAAAATGGACAGAACTGGAGAGGAAAGCCCAGGACAGAGTTGGTTGGCGAAAACTGGTGGGCGGCCTACGCTCCATCGGGGGTAACAGGCGAAACTAAATAAGTAAGTAAGCTTATTGATGAACACATTCGTGGAATTCATTAGTCAGCATGTAATGTGTACGTTGTATTGTTTGGTAATCTTATACCTTTGGTTTTCATCGATTGTCAAACTAACTAAATTCAATTTTAAAATATTAATTATCTAGAAATTATTTTGTAAGTCTAATTCTATTAGTCGATTCTTATTGGTCAATATTTAAGGTCGTCCTAAAACTATCAAGTTCACATACTTTTAAATATTATTTCCTATTGGTTAGTATTCACGGTCGACCTAACTGTATAAATATGCATTGTCTGTAAGGGTGCTTGTAGAATACACTTTCTACTGCATATCAAGACTTTAGATACCGTTCGCAGGGCTTTGGGACGCTCGGATTAGAGTAGCCTATCCAGTCGATTCACTGAATCCATTGTCTTCGCTCTCGTTTACCGACTAAGGTGAACTCGTAATAGTTTCAAGCATATCAATTGACGAGAATAACAGAATCTCATTAAAAGCATGAGTCCACCAATGTTAGACCACAATTAGGAACCTGGAAGTACTGGACGGCAGTTTCGTTATAGCATGAGACTTTTAAGCAGTGAGCATTCACATCCGCCGCCCACGTGGGTCGAAACCTAAGGCATTCGGTCTCGCGCGCAAACGCTGGACTCCTAGACCACTAAGCTGGCATCTACCGGTGTCAATGTCTAATTTAAACCAATCCATGCATAATGAGCGACCACATCCATTATCTTTGGTGTGCAGCTGCCTTATAACAGGATGTACTCCAATGGTCACGACTTCTCACTAGAACTCCAAGAAACTCTCCACGAAGTTCGTCGATAGTGATCATCTCTTCATTATATGGTTGTAGAGATCGTTGGGTTTCATTGAAATCATGAATCAATCGTTGTTAAATTGAAAAGTTTTCACAGATCTGCTATAAGTGATAATTGTGGCATTTCTCTGTTTGTATATCAAACGTTCAATGATTAGCGAATATTTGACGTTAATGTTTTAAACAAGCAGAATTTATGTAATTTTTTATATATTAGAACCAAAGAATATCATCATATATCAAATAGTTATAACTCAGTCGATGTTCAATAGTCAATTATGTCGAAAATATTATATACAGTCTATTTAAAACTAATTGATCACTAACAAAAATCAGCGCGTTCATAAATTTATGAACAAATCAATCAGATTCGAAATAAACCAGTTTTAGATTTTTACGCATATGATTGGACAGTATTTCAAATGATGTCAGTACTAGATGAAGAGGCTGACGCCAGCGCTGAACAATATAACTCCTAAACCTAAATCCTAGTTCTCTGCACTTCGGATCTCAGTAAAGTAAATGAATTTTTTCAAAGTCACTTCATAGTCTCTCAAAAAAAGTTTCTTAATTAAATAATCGTCTCGACAAAATTTCTATCTTCATGGTTATTTAATTAGTATCGTTATTATGGAGACCACCATTAAAATGTGGGAGCACTAAACGGTTGTTCTACTACTGATATGGGACTCAGTGGTTCAGAGGTTTGGTTCGCGCGCAAGACCGAAGGTCCCGAATTGGAATCCTGAAGGAGTCGTTGACGCGCACGACTGATGAGTCCTATACCAGGACGGAAATGGACATCTCTTAGTCAGTCAGTTGCAACGTAGAACTTCGTACGTATGTACATAAGTTCATGTTGCCATACCACATTATTAGCACAGAGACGCAAATGGCAAATCAAATCCCATAGTGACAAAGATAGTAGAGGTATTAATGGTAATGAAGAAGACTAGGGTTTGAAGATATTATTCAAGAAGTATAATTCAGTGAAATAAGGTTAGAAAGACAAAGGTAGAGGTGCTGACCAATCCAGAAGATAAGGATTTGAGAGAGCACAATGAATAGATGCACTTGCGCCATTGCAAACGATTTTGAGCCATGTCATTCAAGGTCTCTAACCATTGGTGACTTTCGTCTCGCGGACCCCAACCAGGTAGTCTACACCTACCAACATGACTCAGTCCACTTGTCAGTGATTTCATGTATTTCTGTCATGTTTTGGTCTGACCGCCCCTAACTTTCTTCCAACCTACTCCTACACCACAAAACATAGCTCGTCGAGGCAGTCGGTGGTTAGGCATTCGTAACACATGTCCCAACCAACTCAACTGATGAAGTTCCACTACTTCATCTATTGATCTGCCATCCCTACCTAGAACTCGTTTCCTAACGAAAGCATTACTTATACAGGAGTCCCACGATACACGAGCAATGCTTCGAAGACACCGATGATCTAAAACTAGTAACCTACGAACATCTTCTACTCTCCATATAGGAGAACGGAGCGAACTGCTGCGCAGTACACCGGTCCTTTAGTCAGCGAACGGATATCTCACCTACGCCCAAATGACGTCTCTTAGTGCTTCCAAGTTTCTTTCTACTACTACTAATGGATCTAACAAGGATTATTAATTCATGAATTCAGTAATATTTCAGTAGTATAAAGAACAACTTACCAAAATTATATAAAATTTTACTAACATATATAAATAACAAATAACCCGTTGGTATAGTTGTATCAAATAATAAACGTCCATTACGATTATGTAATAATTCAGTGATTGTTTTCAATATTGGCACTGTCACCGTTGAATCAAATGACCATATTTCTAATGCACGATGAAACAACTGTAAAGCATTTGGATAAATCCAATTCATTAACATTTGATATGAAGTTTTATTATTCAAACTATAAGATATACCACGAAGATCACGTGCTAAACCGATTATTGACCATTTCATGGATTCTTGATTGAAATTATTCGATGAACCTTATAGAATAAATTAAAAAAAATAGAAGAAGAAACAATGACATTGATAAAGAAGGATTGATGTATGTGGTGTGATGAGCTACTTATAAGTAAGTAGTATATGATGACGTGAGTGTCAGTCAACGTAATGTCTGGCAGTAGAAGATGGGGGGAAGGAAGATCAAGAGAAAGGAAGAGTGGGCGGAACACAATGGAATTTGTATGAAATGCATGAATAGTAGTGACAATGGATTGATGTTTGGCAGCAGGAACAGTCCAGTTCGATAGGATGAACTGATCTGTTCGCGTGCACGAATGTCTAATTTCTTTACTATTGAGAGCTGGTATAGTGCATGAAGCCGAAGTTTTTGGATTTGATTCCCCAGCTTACAAACGTCATGGTTTTTGGATATTCACTAAATATCTTATGAAGAATCATTTTGTAAGTGTAAATTCTATTGGTCGATTCCTAGTGGTCAATAATATGATCGTCATGTACTTCAATGTTGTTTCTTATTGGTCGTCCTGACTATCAATGTCACTTCAAATATTGCTTGCCATTGGTCGGACTACCATACTAAGAAGCCATCCAGTGCTTCCATGTTTCTAATGGTGGTCTAACATTGATGGATTCACGATTTCAATGAAATATACGGGTACGGGTATGAGGGCGGTTGTCATTTTCCGGCTGCCCACAACGTGGAAGGTTGTTTCTTGAGGAAACTGAAAAGGAAGATAGATTAGTGTTGGTCTTACAGACCTGAGTGCGTGACCGCAAAGCCCAGGGGACAACTGCTTGAGGTCGGTCACGCACGGTATTTTTATTAAAGCATTTTGGAGTATTAGCTCTGCTCCTGAAAGCCCTTAGTGGGCACCCTTACCCAAGGAGACGGAAATCTGTGAGGTAAGGTGAAGTGTGACATTTTTAGGGTTGACCTTTTCTAACCCTTCCTTCCTTGTGAGAAGGCAGCATCGCTGCAGATGCTGGTTGTCCGAGGGAAACACCTTACTGCTGTCACACCCCTTCGCAGTCAGCAGTACAACTTCGCCCTCAGACCTTGAGTAGCTGCTTTTAGTCTCATCGTTCTCCATTCGACCTTCCTGACATGGTAGAACCTTCAGGAATATAAGTTCCAGCCAATATAGCTCGGTTGGGTCATCACGATAGGCAAGCCCGACCATCACGTCAAGGTAGCAGCTACGGTCATACAATACAATACAATAAATATCAAATAAAAATTACAGGATATTTTACAAAGATGATAATTGTTTGATGCTTGCAATGACATTTGAATCTCTATGAGCTTGATACTAACCTAATGGATAAGTCATTACAAAGTATCGATTATTTGTAAATTAATATAATTGTTTATTATTGTATGACTGACTATCAATTATGTAAATAGCATGTCGCTAATGGAGATAATATATACATGATAGGAATTGATTGTAAGATTTGTAAAAAAAACTGCTATCCAGTTTTTAATGAGGGTTAGAAAACAGATTCCAAGATGCCCTTTCACTAATAATGATTGATTTCCTACGTGTAACTGGAATACATCATGATAGACGACACTTAAGTGGCCAGTGATCAAACTTCAATTTTTACGAATAACTGAACTGAATGCTCTCTTCCATTCCCGTATATCATCAGCTTAGGTGAACCGCATTTGTGTGGAGGCAGTGATTTTAGAAGCCAAATATGGATTTAGTTGTATGAGTTTATTTATCTCTTTTGCAACCGATCACGCACATACACATGAGAATACAAAGCGCAGCGCAGTGGAGAAAGCGAATAAGCCAACACAATCCAATGAGACATGACTAAGTATAATAGGCTAGATATGTGACAAGTGAAGTGAGCAATACGCACACACAAACACACACTCACGTAAAAACAACCAGAGTAAAAAGATGTGCGAACGGCAACTCGAGCAGAAAAAGTTAATTCAGTTGTCCAAAAGCTACGACGAACCATGTGGGCTCAACATATATATATATATATATATATATATATATATATATATATATATATATATATATATATATATAAGTAGTACACATAATACAACACGAACTTGTTCAACATCCGTAATTGTTAGGATATTCATCCAATATCCTGAGAGAATTATTGGTCAATTCCTACTGGTCAATTTTATGATCGTCCTAGATATCAATGTCACGTCGTACTCCATTGTTGTTTCTTAATGATTGTCCTGACTATCAATGTCACTTCAAATGTTGCTTCTTATTGGTCGTCCTAACTGTCTGGAGATCGTTACCCACGATCTCCAGTCATCCTGAATGGCAAATCGACGTAAGTCCCCCTAGTCTTAATGAGGTTGAAAAAGCGTTAGGAAATCTGAAGCGAGGGCGAGCTGCGGGTCCTGATAGACTGACCCCTGAGATATTTACTTTCTGGATGCTTGTAGAATACACGTTCTACTTCAAATCATGTCTTCTTATTTTTTACTAAATATGGGTGTTTGGATAATCGGATTTGAGTAGCATGTCGTGTCGCCGGATCTTCGATCTCGTTTTCCGACTTGTGTAAACTCGTAATAGTTCAAGTACGTCAAGTTGACGTGCTTACGTGCAGGCGTAACAGTAAGTAATATGATTAATTTACCGCATATATACTTTCCGAAACTATCTTAATTCATTGAAACAGAATTTGATCAATGCAAATCATTTAAACTGATTAAAAATTGCAACCAAATAGAAAAAGAATCCGCCATAATTGTTGCATATAAATCTTTTCATTAATGTTGTTAAAGATCAGTGTCTCTTTAAGTAAATTGTCCGCTGTTAGGATATTCATCCAATATCCTAAGAGAATTATTGGTCAACTCCTATTGGTCGGTTTCTATTGGTCAAAATTATGATCGTTATAACTGTCAAAGTCAAATACTTCAATGTTGTTTCTTATTGGTTGTCCTGATTATCAATGTCACTCCAAATGTTGCTTCCTATTGGTCGTCGTAACTGTCAATGCCACAGAACTTGATGCTGTTTCCTATTCGACCAAAATGTATAAATACGCATTATCTGTAACGTTTATTGACATTCTCATTGGACATTGAACGTTGAACATATATGAATATATTTTATTCAAAATGATCACTCACTAACCTTCAAGTAATAATCCTATAATTAATTGATTTGTCACTCTTGTTAATGGTGCAATAAAATTTAAAAATTGTTCATCATTTTCACCTAGTTCAATCATTAATAAACGTGTCAATGAAGCATAAAATGTTGTACGTAATCGTGAAATAATAGATGATGATTGTTGTGTTGTTACAACACCAGTAGTTGTAGTTGAAGTGGTGGTGGTGGTAGTTGATGATGATAGTAGGAAAGGAAAAAATTCCGGCTAACAAAAGAAAATCGAATAGAGGGAGAGAGAGAGGGAGAGATTGAATGCAAAAAATGAGAATGTTTTTGTTTGATTAAACAAAATGTTTACATTACATTACACTGTTCAAGTGGTTCAATGTATTAGAAATTAAATGTTTTATATTTTATTCAGCATATGAAGTCATGGAGAATAATGAGTTTCGTTGAAATGATCAATCGATCATTGTTAGACTATACCATTGGAAAGAAACATGAAAGCACTGAAAGATGGCGGTTTTCTGTCCTAGTATGGAGCTCATCTAAAGTGTGCATCCATGATCCCCACCGCTCTTGCTGAGGTTGAACCCAGGACCTTCGGTCCCGCGCATGCACGTACGTACGTACTGTTGATCAGTCCCATACTAGAATGATGAAACATCTGTGCGGTGACTTCCAGATTTCTAACAGTAGTCTAACAATGATCGATTGATGGTTATATTGTTAAGTAATCTAGAAACATATATATTTTATTCAGTAATTAACCTAAAGGATTAGTGAGTGAACCAATCAATCGGTCTAATACAACGTAGAACTTTGTACGTGAGTACATCAGTTCATGTTGCCATACCATATTAGCACAGGGACGCAGTTGTCAATTCGAATTCCATAGTGGTAGAAATAGTAGAAGCATTACTGCTAATGGAAAAGATTAGAATTTGAAGATATTATTCAAGAAATATGATTCAGTGAGATAAGTTTAGAAAGTCAAAACTAGAGGTGTTGAAGAATACAGAAGATTAGGATTTGAGATAACACAAAGAATAAATGCACCGGCGCCATTGCGAACGATTTTGAGCCATGTCATTCAAGGTCTCTGACCATCAATTATTGTCATCTCGTGGACCCCAAATTGGTAGTCAACAAATGCCGACATGACTAAGTCCATTTGTCAATGACTTCATGGATTTCTGCCATGTTTTGGTTTGGCAGTCCCTAGCTTTCTTCCAGCTGACTCCCCACATCACAAAACATCGCTCGTCGAGGCAGTCAGAGGTTACTCATACAACTTGAGGTAGAGAATTCAGATGACAGTTCGCCATAAGCTCTCATTCGACCTGTAGTGTTCGAATACAGAGCTTGTATAAGGTTAATGTACTTTTTTGGTACACCTTTCAATGACAGACACTGCCACAGAACCTCACGATCAACAGAGTTAAATGCCGCCTTAAAGTCCAGGAAGACAACTATTGTCGTGAAGTGAAACAATATCCTTCAATGAATCGATTCAGATTTATACAAACTACTCTTCAAAAATAAAAAAATATTGTATCATCCCATAGTTTGTAACACTTGTAACACTTTTCTTTTGGGATATACTTCTCGAATGATGTTTTCGATCACGAATCGTTTCGATCACTACTAATACTTCTACTACTTCTATTACTATGGGATTTGAATTGATAATTTCACCGTCGCTGTGTACTAATATAGTATGACAACTTGAACTCATGTATGTACTTACGAAGTTCTACGTTTTGGCTAATTGATTCTGCAAATAAATGTGCATTTAAACATGTATATTACTGGGTGTTAATTTAGTTAGTAGTCTACAAGTTAAGCACTTATCATATGATCTGAATGGTTCAATACTTCGTGAACAGCGTCCGACTAACAAGAAGAGTAGATGGAACATTGAAAATGAGGGATGCATGAAAAAAATCCTCAGTTTCTGTAGTTACGCCCCAAACAGTTGGTGTTTAAATCAACTGTTAGTCACTGGCTACCATGAGATTGCATCCCCTGGTGTTTTTCCACTGATTAATAGACCAAACATGCGAATAGGAAGGGTCCAGGGATTGGTCCTCTAAGAAAATATCCCAGCCCAATATCAATAGTTAAGTGTCCACTTTGGTATAAATCAATGTGAGTAGAGTTAGTTGTGGAGAGAAGAGAGGTACTAGGGGGTGTAGGAAGGATTTGATTTCGACGAGATTGGTCTCTCGTGCTGTTACGGGTATGAGGGCGGTTGTCACTTCCCGGCTACCCACACCGTGGAAGGTTGTTTCTTGAGGAACCTGAAAAGGAAGATAGATTAGTGTTGGTGCGTGAACGCAGAGCCCAAGGGACAACTGCTTGAGGCCGGTCACGCACGGCCTTTTTATCAAAGGTTTTTTGAGTATTAGCTCCGTTCTTCAAGGCCCTTAGTGGGCACCCTTACCCAAGGAGACGGAAATCCGTGAGGTAGGGTGAGGTGTGACATTTGTAGGGTCGACCTTTTCCAACCCTACCTTACTTGTGAGAAGGCATCGTCACTGCAGATGCTTGTTGTCCGAGGGAAACACCTTACTGCTGTCACACCCCTCCATCACAGTCAGCAGTACGACTTCGCCCTCAGACCTTGGGTAGCTGCTTTTAGTCTCATCGTTCTCCAATCGACCTGCCTGGCATGGTAGAACCTTCAGGAACATGAGTTCCAGCCAGTATAGCTCGGTTTGGTCATGACGATGGTCAAGTCTGACAAGCACCATGTTAAGGTAGCAGCTTCGGTCGGGAGGTATGGAATCAATAAACTTACATAATTTAACAACAATAGAGAAAATCACACAAACAAAAAACCACACACACAAAAAAGAAAATTCATTCATTCACAACTCTTCTTACTGTATGATTGAAAAGCATAAATTGTACATGATCTAAACGTAATAATTTACGCATTGCACTAAAACCAATGGATAATTCCGAGAATAAATTCAATGTTCTTTGTAATATTGTTTCACAATTACTCCAATATTTTAAATTCGTCAAAATTTTCTCAATAAATACATTCAACATCATCATCTCATCGGAAATGCCTAATTTATCTGATAAACATTGATAGAACTAGAAAAAGGAGAGACGGAGAGAGAGAGAGAAAAAATCAATACAAAACAGAAATATGATTCATAGAGTGATATTTATTCATGACTGTATGATTAAATAAAGTGTAGCAAAGAAAATATTGAAAATGTTTCAATTGTTTAAAAAAGATTAAACTGTATGACACAAGATTAGAATGTGTCAGTAGTCAGTTAGGTACAACACAGAAGAACTTGGTTCGAGCACAGTAGGTACATCCATTCAGGTTGCCGTGTCACATTAGCTAATAGAGACATGCACACGGTGTGGTGCGAGCTACTTAAAAGTAGTATATGACGTGAGTGTCAACGTAATGTCTGGCAGCGGAAGATGGGGGAAGATCAAGAAAGGAAGACTTAGAACACAATGGAATTTGTATGAAACGCATGAGTAGTGAGAGGAATGAACAAACATTGGACAGAACTGGAGAGGGAAGCCCAGGACAGAGTTGGTTGGAGAAAACTGGTGGGCGGCCTATGCTCCATTGGGGGTAACAGGCGTAAGTAAGCATAAATAGTGACAATGGATTGATGTTTTGCAACAGAAACAGTCCAGTTCGATAGGATGAACTGATATTTTGCAAATTAACGATTTACGATATGGTTTTCCGATTTTACTGAGTAACTCTGTAATTTTCGTTAAATACAATTCGGTTGCCCCACCTATGTTCTCCTTCACTACAACGGTAGATCAGACTGTGTTGATATTGGGGACGTTAGATATCAGAACTCACTTGATAAAGGTCTTAATTTTGAATTTTATTCATGGGCTGATCAGTTGACCTTGAGATTACATTTCCCATTGGGAAAATTTCTTGGTTGTGATTAGTTGATGTGTTAATTTAGTACGTTATTTTTGTGACTCTCCCAAGGACGTATCTATGATGTATAAATAAACGCTTGAGATCATTGTAGTTTTTGGGTGCTTGTAGAATACACTTCAGTTAGTTGCAGCAATGGATCAGAGTAGCTTACCATGCCACTGGTTCATTGTCTTGTTCTCATTTATCGACTAAGGTGAACTCGTAGTAAGTAGTTTCAAACACATCAAGTCACGAGCATAACAGTTAAAGGCTAGAAGAAATGTGGAAGAAGGTAGTCTCGATAATTTACTCGTATTGTAAATGAATGTCTGAAGATTAGGGTGTACATACTTGATAAATAAATCGTACAATGTACACTAACTAGTGACTACTAGCTTCGTGAGGAAATTCTCGGAGTTCTAGTGAAAAGACGTGACCAGGGGAGTTCAATCAACCCTGTCGAGTGTAGGCAGCAATTAACGAAGACAATGAGCGAGGTTGTGCAAAATCCCTATATTGATCACAGTTACAGAATTAACACTATTGGATGCCGGCCCAGTTGTCCAAAGGTTGGGCACTCACGGGAGACCGAAGGTCCTAGGTTCGAATCCTACTACTAGTAGCGCACTGCTGACGAGTCGTCCCATACCAAGGTAAAACTACCATTCAGTGCTTCCATGAAACTGTCATAGCTGATTATCACGATCAACATCAACGGTGCGCAGTGGTAAAAGAATGGAAGTAGGGTAGGTTGGGGGAGATAAGAGAGCTTTTAAGAGATGTAAGGGAAAAATTGATTGTAACTTATTTGGTCTCGTGTGCTCAGAGTGGTCACGGGATGTCACTTCCCGACTGCCCACACCATGAATGTTTCTTGAATAACCTGAAAAGGAAAAAGCCCAAAGACATCTCTGCTTGAGGCCGGTCACGGACGAATTTTTTATGGGGGGTTTGTGAAGTGTTAGCTTAGCTCTTTTTGAAATGCCTTACCGCTGGAGACAGAAATCTGTGCGGTAAGGTGAGGTGTGACCTTTTCTAACCTCCTTGTGAGAAGGCAGCATCGTTGCAGAAGCTGGTTGTCCAAGGGAAATACTTTACTGTCGTCACACCCCTCTACAGTCAGCAGCAGGACTTCACTCTCTGTCCTCCAATTGCTGTTTTTAGTCTCACTGTTCTGCAATCGATCTGCCTGGCATGGTAGGACCTATAGGAACGTGTGTTCCAGCCAATATAGCTCGGTCGGGTCATCACAATAGGCAAACCCGACTACCACAATTAAGGTAGTAGCTACAGTCAGGAGCTTTATTCATGAGGTAGATATAAGATTAGAGATTGAATACAAACCTAATTTAATGAATTATTCTGAATGCTATAACAGCTGATTCCGGACACTTTTCTTTCGATTATGTCAAACCAATCATACGATTCACAAACAAAATAGAGAACCAGATTAAGCGATAATCTTTAGTGAGTTCGGAGTAGAAATCAATACCAAGAAAGTAAATCATATATTTAGCAGCCAGTAGGTTTGATGCCTGTATGTCTGCGCTCGATGATCAATCATCACATTCTAATGTAATCATCAGGAGTCGAATCCAAGACTTTTCGGCCTCATATACAAGATAGGTTCAGTGGTGAAGAAGTTAGGAGTTCGCAAGCGCGAACAAAGGTCCTAGGTTCGAGCCCCGTTCGCTGGGTTGTGGATGCATACTGTTGAGAAGTTTCATACCAGGATGAAACAGCCGTTTAGTACTTTCAGGTTTTCAATAGAGCTCTAATATTGATCGAATGCAAGATTTCAATCAATCCCATTTTAACGTCTATCTCTATCGATTAATCAATTATAAAGTTTCAAATCTTTTAGAAAATTAAACTCAAATGAAATAATCATTTGCAAAACACATGTTTATAAACTTTGATTACATTTATACATAGTTTATGTTAGCAGCTAGTAATACTGTGGTGCGCGCTACTTATAAGTAGTATATGACGTGAGTGTAAACGTAATGTCTGGCAGCAGAAGATGGTGGAAGATCAAGAAAGGAAGAGTGGGAACACAATGAAATGTGTATGAAACGCATGAATAATTGAAATGTCAGACAATGGATTCATGATGGATTGAAGATTTGCAAATTAACGGTTACGATATGGTTTTCCTAGTTTACTGAGTAACTCTGTAATTTGCGTTAAATACAATTCGGTTGCCCTCAACTGTGTTCTCCTTCACTACAATATGATTAAAATCGTCAAGTTAGAATTTTAGCATTAAGTAAACTTTAGAAAGTAGTAATGTGGAATGTAACGACGATAACAGTCTAGAGAAATAGGTAAGATCAATTTCACGTTGAAATCATAAAACCAATCATTGTCAGACAGCCTTTAGAAACCTGAAAGCACTGGATAGCCGTCAAGTCCTAGTGTGAGACTCTTTAGCAGTGCGTAATCCATGAGCCCCGTTTGTGGGAATTGAACCGAAGACCTTCAGTCTCGCGTGCGAACGCTTAACCTATAGAACATCGTATCAACATTCAACGATCATCCAGTGCTTCCAGGTTTCTAATGGTGGACTAAAAATAATTCTGTACTGTAAACTCGATTTACAGAAATAATAAAACCATATATTTGTTAGTGAGTACTTAAATACTTTTAAGTTAAAAAAAGGTAGTGCGAACTGTTAGGATATTCATTCAATATCCTAAGAGAATTATTGGTCTATTCCTATTGGTTAATTCCTACTGGTCAATTTTATGATCGTCCTAGATATCAATGTTGTTTCTTACTGGTTATCCTGCCTATCAACGTCACTTCAAATGTTACTTCCTATTGGTCGTCTTAACTGTCAATGTCACAGACTTCGATGCTGTTTCCTATTCGACCAAAATGTATAGATAGGCATTATCTGCACCATTTTATGACGCGGACCTGGATTCTCAGTCCGGGATCGTGATTCTCTTCTGGACTTGGACCTCGTACTCCCTGAATTCTTGTACAATACAGGTTCTACTTCATATCAAGTCTTCTTATTTTCACTCAATATGGGGGTTGGGATAATCGGACTAGAGTAGCATGTCGTGTCACCAGATCCTCGCTCTCGTTTTCCGACTAGGTAAACTCGTAATAAATAGTTCAAGTATATCAAGTTGACATGTTTACGTCCATGCGTAACACAAACACATGTATGCGTGTGAAAACAACTGAAAAAAACAAAAAATAGTATATTACCAAACTAAACTTTCTTACTTTAGACAATCTGCCAACATTTTCACCAACATAGACTCGACGAAGTTGTTCAAAAAAACTGAGTACAGCTAATTCCAATCGTATCATACTTGGTGATTGAATAGTAGTAGTAGTAGTAATCAGTGCAATATTCGTATGATTGGTGGTTATTGACGATGCGGATGTGATAAAATTTGTAATTAAACGTGTTAATTGTATGACACGACAAACTAATTCACCATCACATTCATCTTCATTAGCATAAGACAGGCGACCGCCAATGAGTGCACCTAATTATCAAAAGATAGAACTGATCAAGATAATGAAAATTTTTTAATAATGTGAAAAGATTAGCAAGAGAGAGAGAGAGTATAACTTTTATTTGTAACCATGAATCGATCAATGTTAGACCACCATTAGAAACCTGGGACTCATACCAGGACGAAACGGCCGTCCAGTGCTTCCAGGTTTCTAATGGAGTGGTATAACATTGATCGATTCATAGTTACAAATAAAACTTAACAGTCTTCACAACAACCCCGCAATGCGATTACATGTGTCCACTAGTGACTAGCTTGGTGAGGAATCTTCTCCGAGTTCTAGTGGGAAGTCGTGACCAGTGGAGTTCAAACCTGATCGGATGTATACAGGGTATGAGTTTGCGTAACTCCGTGAATTTGATCAAGTTAGACATTAACACTGTTAGGTACCGGCTCAGTGGTCTAACGGTTAGGACGTTCGCGCACAGTACCGAAGGTCCTGGGTTCGAATCCTGAGGGGTGCAGGAGTCGTGGATGCGCACTGCTGAGAAGTCCCATACCAGGACGAAACGGCCGCCATTCAATGTTTCGAGGTTTCTAATGGTGGTCTAACATTGATCGATTCATTGTTAAAAAACTTAACATTCTTCACAACAACCCCGCAATGCAGAGAGTATAACTACCAAAGACAAATGGATTAGGTTACGGAAAATCTCTAGATTGATCAAAGTTAGGCATTAACATCGTTGGATGCCGACCGGCTCAATGGTCCGAAGGTCCTAGGTTCGAATGACTGCAAAGTGCAGGAGTCATGGATTCGCACTGTCACTGATGAGTCCTGTAACCAGGACGAAACGACCGTCCAGTGCTTTCAGGTTTCTAATAGTGGTCTAACAATGATTGATTGATGACTTCAATGTGTAAAAACACTAATCTTCATAACTCTAATTGGAAAAAAAACTTCAAGGTTATACATAAATATGTATCTATACATAACTCCGTCTGGAGCCCTTTCCGGTGTTACTGCTTGGAATTAAAGCGTGACTGCGTCAGCTGCGCTCTGATTGGCCAATTTCCTATCCAATCAGCGCCTGATCGATTCTTGGAGAACAGGGTAGAAGATTCTCGTATTGTTAGCTGCATGCTGATTGGCTAAATCTAATCCAGTCGATCACGTGGATTTCTATCCAGAAATTTCTCATGTAAATGATATAAATAAACTAACGTTGTATCCATTTTTGGCCTTGGCCTTCGCCATCACCTTTGGCTTCTTATTTCCATTTAACCTTGCTGTTTGGAATATAATCTTTTCCTGTTCCACCGAGTTTTTGATTCTCGGGAACTTGTCCAGTATATTGTGGTCAGATAATACTAAGCAATAGGATTTAGCTGGGAATTATTTCAGCAGGCATTACAACACTGCTGATCCCAAGCCCGGATAAAATCAAGAGGGCAATCGGGTATGGAGTTAACGACTACATCTGGCAGAAAATCAACACGTTAAAAATAAATGTTCCGTTCATATATATACAAATATATATATATATATATATATATATATATATATATATATATATAATTCATATATGTATATTGCTTACTTACCAACCATATAAACAAGCCATGCTAGACGATGTTCTTCTAAGCGTAAAATTTGTCCTAAATGATGATCATTCATGGTGAGATTATTTGTAGTGATTATATTGAATGCTTTTTCTAAACTACTAGCATATTCATCAAATAACAGAATAATATCATTGCATGTTTTATCATACACGCAACGTCCAATAGTTCCAAACTATTTAAAAAAAATATGCAACAACAAAAAGAAATGAAAAAGGTTGATAGTAAGTGAAATTGTTAGGATTATTCACCAAATATCCTAGGAATACTCTATTTTTAGAAATACAATCCTATTGGTCGATTTCTATTGGTCAAAATTATGATCGTTCTAACTGTCAAGGTCAAATACTTCAATGTCGCCTCTTATTGGTCATCTAGACTGTCAATGTCATTTCAAATGTTCTTTTCTATTGGTCATCCTAAACTGTCAATGTCACAGACGTTGATGCTCTTTCCTATTCGACCTTAATGTATAAATTCGCACTATCTGTAAGCCTTCATGATTCCGATTCCAATTCCGTTTGTTCCTGCCTACCTCTCTTCTGTATTCGACCCAATAAACAACTCCATCCCACGGTGTTGCGTTCTGATATCTAGGAGATTTGGAAATAGCATTTTGGGTCGTATTGGGATATTTGAATTGGACGCCGTTAGGACTGAATAGCCATACGTAGCAGCGTTACAACAGAATTACAAAGAAAAAAAATCATATTCAGATAGTGAAAGATGATTTTTTTTATTTGATGAACTAAAAGAAAGACTGTTTGTGTACAGTCAGTTCAAGTGGCCATACCACACTAGCATACTGTTGTTGGGGATGTTAGATCCCCAGAACTAGCTTGATAAAAACACCTTACTTGTGGATTTCATGTTTGCGAGCGTGGGCTGATCAGCTGACCTTGAGACTTCATTTCCCGCAAGGGAAATCCTTGGCTGTGATTGGCTGCTGTGTATTTTATTAGTCTGCTATTTTCGTAACTGTCCCAAGGACGTTTCTATGATGTATAAATAAACAAGAGTTGTGTGCTTGATTGTATTGTAATTGCTGGATGTTGTAGAATTTACTTTCTACGCTTATCAAGTCTTCTGTTTTGTAGTTTGTGATTCAAGGTAGCCTACTTGGAAGCTGGTTATTGTCTCGTTCAAGTTTATTAACTAAGGTGAACTCGTAATAGCTTCAAGCGTACCTAGTGACGAACATAACACATACAGAGATGCAAACGTCAATTTAAATCCTATAGTGGTAGATGTAGTAGAAATATGAGTAGTAATCGGAAAGATTAGGGTTAGGAAATATGATTCTAGAAGTATAGTCCGGTGAAATAAATTTACAAACGGATAAGAAAACGTCCTGAGCTCATGAGAGAAGGCAAAGAGTGAATGCGCCGGCGCCATTGCAAACAATACTGAGCCATGCACTTCAAGATTTCTAAACACAGATTACTATCATCTCCCGGACCCCAACCAGGTAGCCTACATCTACCAACATGACTCAGTCCACTTGTCAGTGACTTCATGGACTGCTGCCATGTTTCGGTTTGGCAGCCACTAGCTTTCTTCCAGCCTACTCCGACACCGCAAAATATAGCTCGTCGAGGCAGTCGGTGGTTAGGCATACGCAACACATGTCCCAATCACTTCAACTGATGAAGTTTCAATACCTCATCTATAGACCTGCAGTCCTTACCTAGTACTCGATTCCTAACGACAGCATTACTGACTCGAATGTCCCAGGATACACGAGCAATGCTTCGAAGACATCTATGATCAAAAACCAGTAACCTACGAATATCCCCTACTCTTACTGGCCATGTTTCACATCCATAGAGTAGGACGGAGCGAACTGCTGCGGAGTAGACTCGTCCTTTGGTTAGCGAACAGTTATTTCGCCTACGCCTACACTATTTGTATACTGATCGAAATGAATGTCTAGAATTAAGGGATTATGAACAATGAAACCAACTAGCCAATCATTTTAAATTATTAGAGAATACTAAACCATCATTGATTGAAATTATCGATTGAATATTGATAATTATCATGTATTCACTAAGTGACTTGCTTCGAGACGGGATTCCCCGAGTTCAAATGGGACGTCATGTGACCAGTTAAGTCCAACAGTGTTGGTTAAAAAGCAGTTACCCACGAAAGACTACGAATGGTATTTACCCAACATTGTGGATTGATTGAAGTTAGACATTAATACAGTTGGATGGCGGACCAGTGGTCAAGAGTTTAATAATTCGCGCACTAGAACGAAGTAACTAGGTTGCATCCGTGGGTGTAGGTGTTGTGAATATACACTGTTGATAAGTTTTATACTAAGATGAAACAACCATTCTATGCTTTTTTTTACAGTCAGCAATTGAAAGTCACATGTTTCAACTAGTCAGTTAAAGCATTCAAGTATAAACAAAACGCTTTGTCAAGTTGCTCCTGTCATAAAAAGTAACTCAAACTACCTCTTTTCATTTTCGAAATTTAAATTTATTCAGAAATCTATTCGTTATTATGATGCTTGTAAACGCTCTGAGAAATTTATTCATCATTCGACCCCCCCCCCTATTCAACTAATTCGTATCTCATTCATGCTATTTCTCATACTGAGTGTGAGTGATACCTACCTGATTTACAATTACATTATTATCTCTCACTCAGCTCATATTAACAAATATTAATTGCTAATTACTGCTCATCTTACTGTTAGGGGAACATAGATGGAATAAAGCATGACTACGTCATCTGCGCGCTGATTGGCGAATTTCCTAATCCAATCAGCGCTTGATCGATTCTTGGAGAACACGGTAGAAAATTCTCGTGTTGTTGTTAGCTGCATGCTGATTGGCTAAATCTAATCCAGTCGATCATGTGAATTTTTATCCAGAAGCTTCTCATGTAAATGCTACTATAAAGGAACTAACGTTGTATCTATTATCGACTTCGCCTTCGCCATCACCTTTGGCTTCTTATTCCATTTAACCTTGCTATTTTGGAATATAATCTTTTCCTGTTCAACCGTGTTTTTTGATTCTTTGGAACTTGTCCAGTGTATTGTGGTCAGAGAATACTAAGCAATAGGATTTAGCTGAGAATTATCTAAGCAAGCCTTATAACACTTACAATTTCGCATAATTTAAGCATAAACTCGACGAAATGAACACTTCATGCCAGCAAACTCACATGTTATAAATAATAATTTAATAATGCTTTAAACTTGGTCACTTTTATTCGGGGGTTTTGTTAATTTGGATATATGTAACTATGGTGGTGTTTCGTTCTCTGAGCTGGTTGTTTTGGTTGTGGAGCTTTGATTGTTCTTCTGAACACCAATTAGCAGTCAAACGCCACGATAACTCTTCGCTGATATCAATACATACCGACAATTATGGACATACATTCGATTGGGACAATGTGGAAATACTGGATAGGGGGAGGACAAAGACAACACTAGAGAATTTTTAGAAGCTTGGCACTCAGGTCAATCAGCAATCAATAAACACATCGACATTGACCCAATTTATCAACCAATTAGAAAAATTATAGGTGGTGACATAGGATCAAGAAACAGATCAAAAAGGAGACACAATCAAAACAAAGTTGTAAACAACGATAGGTTTAAGGTCAACAACAACCAATCAAGATCGAGGTTAGCAGAACAAGCCACAGGTCAAACGTGGAGAAATTCGAGTACTTCACATCTTCTATCTGATGTTTATGCTGACGATGTTGTTCTGATAAAGAACGATGAAAGCTCCACAACCAAAACAACCAGCTCAGAGTGAACGAAACACCACCATAATCGTCCACCTGAGCTACAAGTTTTCTCCACCATCTCAAATATGTAACTGTTGAATTTGAAGTGAATAAATTCGTGAGAATATTGTTTTTTTTCAAACATGAATTTTTCAAAACATATAAAATTCCACGGATAAAATAAATTTCCCGTAAAAGTATCAATAAACTAATGACCTTGAGCGACATAACCACCAATCAAAAACATGGTGTCTAGCTATAAAATGATCTAGGTGGAATATTTGCTTTAATCTGAATGATCAAAACTTCCATGTCGAATTATTTGCTTGAAGTGAAAATGAAACGGCTAAGTTCACTTATCACTCCACAGAATTTTGTTCATCAACTATGATCAACCAAAATACTACTTAAAACGTTAGGTATGAAAAGTCAGTCAGTCACGGGGTTTCAAGAGACCAGAAATGACGTTTCATGAACTCGCTTCGTCTGCATTAGCTGTGCACTGTGATAAATGAATATGAGAAGAGTTAGTCGTGGAGATAAGAGAGGTACTAGGGGGTGTTTGAAGGATTTGATTTTGACCAATTTTGTCTCTCGTGCTGTTACGGGTATGAGGGCGGTTATCACTTCTCGGCTGCCCACACCGTGGAAGGTTGTTTCTTGAGGAACCTGAAAAGGAAGATAGATTAATGTTGGTCTTGGAGACCTCGGAGCGTGAACGCAGAGTCCGAGGGATAACTGCTTCAGGCCGGTCAAGCACGGCCTTTTTATGGAACGTTTTTTGAGGATTAGCTCCGTTCTTAAAGGCCCTTAGTGGGCACCCTTACCCAAGGAGACGGAAATCCGTGAGGTAGGGTGAGGTGTGACATTTTTAGGGCCGACCTTTTCCAACCCTTCCTTCCTTGTGAGAAGGCAGCAGCATCACTGCAGATGCTGGTTGTCCGAGAGAAACACCTTACTGCTGTCACAGCCCCTTACAGTTAGCAGTACGACTTCGCCCTCAGACCTTGAGTACTGCTGCTTTTAGTCTGATCGTTCTCCAATCGACCTGCCTGGCATGGTAGGACCTACAGGAACATATGTTCCAGCCAGTATAGCTCGGTTGAGTCATCACAATAGGCAAGCCCGACCACCACGTCAAGGTAGCAGCTACGGTCGGGAGGTATCAAAAACGTTCAGCTGCATTGTGAAGTTAGGTTTTTTTTCCGCATTTAGGGCTATGACTTTCATTGCCAACTGAAACCAGTTGTTATGATACAATGTATGATTAATAACATGCCAGTTATGTATTGTCGCACTTTAAATGTGGCGCGAGCTACATAAAGCATTATCCTTAATCCTGATTGGTTCACACTCAAGGTCATCAAGACATGATACTTCTTTATATCATCTTTTGTTTTGAACAATTATTCACCAATTGATCACATTGAACAGAAAAACTATTGAATTTAAAAAAATTTCATTTCATTTATTACTACTACTTACCTGATCTAATTGTTGTGATAATGTAATCCAATCATCCAGAAGGCATTCATTATCGGAATCATTTACTACTGATAATAGTAGTATTTTAGAATTATTTGTAATCATTGAATTAAAATGATTATTATTATTATTAATATTATTAATATTATCATGATCGATTTTATCATCGTCCTCATTATTATTTTGATGTTGATTCAATGATTTTGTTAAAATATTACTATTATTATTATTATTATTATTATAGTAGTAGTTGTTGTCATTATTATTCGAGAATTTTGTTTTCAATTTCTTCTCAGCACGTAATGATTCACGGGTAATATTCAATTGGGTATCATTCATATATTTCGGTATAGAATTTAAACGTGTTTCAATGTATGCATTGATAATTTGTGGTGTAGCATCGTTTCTAACCCTTCCTTCCTTGTGAGAAGGTAGCAGCATCACTGCAGATGCTGGTTGTCCAAGGGAAACAGCTTACTGCTGTCACACCACCTTACAGTTAGCAGTACGACTTCGCCCTCAGACCTTGAGTACTGCTGCTTTTAGTCTCATCGTTCTCCAATCGACCTGCCTGGCATGGTAGGACCTACAGGAACATATGTTCCAGCCAGTATAGCTCGGTTGGGTCATCACGATAGGCAAGCCTGACCATCACGTCAAGGTAGCAGCTACGGTCGGGAGGTATCAAAAACGTTCAGCTGCATTGTGAAGTTAGGTTTTTTATGGCTATGACTTTCATTGCCAACTGAAACCAATTGTTACGATACAATGTATGATTAATAACATGCCAGTTATGTATCGTCGTACTTTAAATGTGGCGCGAGCTACATAAAGCATTATCCTTAATCCTGATTGGTTCACACTCAAGGTCATCAAGACATGATACTTCTTTATATCATCTTTTCTTTCAAACAATTAACTAATTGATCACATTGAACAGAAAAAATATTGAATTTAAAAAAGATTTCATTTCATTTATTACTACTACTACTTACTTGATCTAATTGTTGTGATAATGTAATCCAATCATCCAGAAGGCATTCATTATCGGAATCATTTACTACTGATAATAGTTGTATTTTAGAATTATTAGTAATCATTGAATTAAAATGATTATGATTATTATTAATATTATTAATATTATCATTATCGATTTTATCATCGTCCTCATTATCATTTTGATGTTGATTCAATGATTTTGTCAAAATATTACTATTATTATTATTATTATTATAGTAGTAGTTGTTGTCATTATTATTCGAGAAATTTTTTTTCAATTTCTTCTCAGCACGTAATGATTCACGAGTAATATTCAATTGGGTATCATTCATATATTTCGGTATAGAATTTAAACGTGTTTCAATATAGGCGCTGATAATTTGTGGTGTAACATTATGCAGTAAATGTGTCTCCGAAGCATGTACATACGGGATACTAGCAACTAAACGTTGCCATAATGCTAATAAATAATGTAAACTATTTTGGCTTGTTTCATTTGTATATTCCTGTAAAAGTAAAAAAAATGGAATAAAAACAGTTTTAGGAAAAAAACAATCAGGGAGAGTTTCTAATGGTGTTGGTCTAACATAACATTGATTGATCGATTCATGGTTTTTTCAAAAATGTGTAACTTTTAACAACAATCTTCACAACAACCCTCCGTAATGCTCGAATAGTGACTAGCTTCGTGAGGAATCTTCTTTTGAGTTCTAGGGAGTGGGAAGTTGTGTGACCAGTGGAGGAGTTCAACCTGTTCGGGTGTAGACAGTAACTACTACCGATGACTGTGTGTATGAGGTTGCGCAACTCTGTGAATTTGATCAAGTTAGACATTAACACCGTTAGATACCACCGGCTCAGTGGTCCGATGATGGTTAGGAGTTTGCGCACAATACCAAAGGTCCTGGGTTCGAATGACTGCGAGGTGCAGGAGTCGTGGATGCGCACTGCTGAGGAGTCCCTTTCCAAGACCAAACGGCCATCTTTCAGTGCTTACAGGTTTCTAATGGAGTGGTCTAACATAACATTGATTGATCGATTCATGGTTTTTTCAAAAATGTGTAACTAACTTTTAACAACAATCTTCACAACAATCCCCCCACGTAATGCAATTAATTACCTGTGCTCACACTAGTGACTAGCATCGTGAGGAATCTTCTTCTCCGAGTTCTAGGGAGTGGGAAGTTGTGTGACCAGTGGAGGAGTTCAACCTGTTCGGGTGTAGACAGTAACTACTACCGATGACTGTGTGTATGAGGTTGCGCAACTCTGTGAATTTGATCAAGTTAGACATTAACACCGTTAGATACCACCGGCTCAGTGGTCCGATGATGGTTAGGAGTTTGCGCACAATACCAAAGGTCCTGGGTTCGAATGACTGCGAGGTGCAGGAATCGTGGATGCGCACTGCTGAGGAGTCCCATACCAGGAGGAAACGGCCGTCTTTCAGTTCTTCCAGGTTTCTAATCTAGTCTAATATAGATCGGTTCATGGTTTTTTCAAAAATGTGTAACTTAACAACAATCTTCACAACCCCCCGTAATGTAAATGAGAGAGTTGCAGAACTTGTTGATTTCCATTGAAAACATGAATCAATGATCAATATTCAAACCTGGAAGTACTAGCTTGATGGCTGATTTGTCCTGAGTATGCGATTCCTTCCCCAGCAGTGCTCATTTATGACCTCCTCACAAGGGGAAACTGTATGTCAGACGAAAAGATCTTGGATTCGATTACCGCCTGCAGGGTCGTGGATACCGTACTGATACGGAGTCGCATACTCGGATGAAACGGCCCTCTAGTGCTTCTAGGCTTTGTAATGATGGTCTAACATTGATTGTTGATTCATCAATTCAATGGATTATCGCAACTTGTAAATTAAACTTACGTCAATTATTAGAATTTATCGGGAAAAGGGAATTTCGAGAACATAATTAAATCGCTTAAAAACGGATACTATCTTTAATGAATGAGCTAGTTACTACATATTCAATCTACTAGTCAGTAATTATGATACAACAATGAAATAGAATACAATTACTGTTTCTGTTTCACTTTGAAATGCCGTTATTGATATTACATTAGCGGTTGTAATTAGATTACTATTGGTTGACATGAACAGCATCCTATGGCCGATTGCCTCGATAGGGAGACATTATGATACAAGTTTATACGGATTGGATAGAATCTATCTAGCGAAGTAGTGAATCTTAATCAATTGAGGTGGTTGGGACATGTTTTACTTATACTCAATCATTGATCGCCTCACAAAATATTGCCTGAAGTAGGGGTGTGGTGTGCGCTACTTATAAGTAGTATATGACGTGAGTGTCAACGTAATGTCTGGCAGCAGAAGACGGGGGAAGATCAAAAAAGGAAGAGTGGGAACACAATGGAATTTGTATGAAATGCATGAATAAGTGAAATGTCAGACAATGGATTGATGATGGATTGAAGATTTTCAAATTAACCGTTTACGATATGGTTTTCCTAATTTTACTGAGTAACTCTGCAATTTTCGTTAAATACAATTCGGTTGCCCTCATCTGTGCTCTCCTTCTCTACAAGGGTAGGTTGGAAGAAAGCTAGGGAGCAGCCAAATTAAAAACATGGCACATTTCCATAAAGTCACTGTGTTATCTAGTGTAGAAGTAGGTTGGCAGAAAGCTAGAGGCAGCGTAAACTAAAACATGGAATTAATCCATGTATGTAACAATTGACAACTGAACTGAGCCATGTTATCAGATGTAGAAACACCTGGTTGTAGAGTCTGCGATACAACAGTAACCGATGGTTAGAGACTGTGAATGACATGACTCAAAATTGTTTGGAATGGATGCATATGCATCCATTGTTAATCTTCATTAAAATTCTAAACTTTTGCATCCATCATGACCGTTTTTTTTTCGTTGAGTTCATTTCATAGAATTACACTTCTTGAATAATTTCTTGAAACTCTAATCTTCTCTGATTACTGCTAATACTTCTACTACATCTGTGGTGCGAGCTACTTATAAGTAGTATATGACGTGAGTGACAACGTAATGTCTGGCAGTAGAAGATGGGGGAAGATCAAGATAGGAAGAGTTAGAAAACAATCGAATTTGTATGAAACGCATGAATAGTAGTGACAATGGATTGATGTTTTGCAACAGGAACAGACAGTTCAGTTCGATAGGATGAACTGATATTTTGCAAATTAACAATTTACGATATGGTTTTCCAATTTTACTGAGTAACTCTGTAATTTTCGTTAAATACAATCCGGTTGCCCCACCTATGTTCTCCTTCACTACATTTGGTGTCGCTGCCTGCACGAAGGAAGGAGCTCCCGTGGCCGAAGGAGTTTGAAGCCACGGTAGAGCTGGTGGGTGTGAAAGGGGCCCGAGGCGGAGTTGGCGGTGCTTGGGAAGCTGCGGGGAGGTGAGGCGAAGGCGGTATACGACAGCCTGGACGGTGCCGCCGGGAAGACGGTCACCGGGCGGCTGATGACGGTATATTATTCGATCACCAAACAGACTTTCTCTCCTAGTCTTGCCTTCTCGCTCAAATAATAAATTTCAGGAGTTAGAACATATACCGATCAGATATCTTGGACATCGCACAAGAGAACAGAAAAAAAATTCAATCAATGCATAAAGAAAAAAAGTACCGACTTATCGATCTAACACTTACTTTTAAACTATTCACTGTGAACATTGTAAGTAATTCAATAAACGATGGATAATCATTTAAAGCAACTAATTCATTTAATTGATAATTACATTTTAATCTAGAAAGTAGCAAACAAAATTCATGATATGCTTCAGGATTATGAATTAAATTACACGATGGACTATTCATACTACTACTATTATGATGATGGTTGTTAGTAGTAGTAGTTGTAGTTGTTGTATTAGAAATTGGATTATGTGGAGAACCAATGAGGTTAGGAGTAGCAGGAGTAGTAGTAGTGGTAGTATTTGTATTACTATTATTATTATTAACCGATAATAAAATATCACGACAACCAGAAACAATTTGTGATAGGAAAACAGATCTTTCTGCATTTGTAAATAATGAACGTCGTATACTTGATATTTGAACAAGACAAGAAAGCGCCTAAAATTGAAAGAAATTAAATACAAATTGACAATTAAATACTGATATGAATTTAGATGGCATTGGCACTTGTATTGGCACTTGTATAAACATGAAATTTGGTCTATACTACTAAAAATGTCGATCAATCAATCAATCAATATGTGAGAAGAGTTTGCCTTATAAAGTAATATTGTGGTGCTGTGTTGCGAACTACTTATAAGTAGTATATAGCGTGAGTGTCAACGTAAAGTCTGGTAGCATAATATGGGGGGAAGATCAAGAAAGGAAGAGTCAGAAAACAATGGAATTTGTATGAAACGCATGAAGAGTGACAATGGATTGATGTTTTGCAACAGGAACAGTCCAGTTCCATAGGATGAACTGATCTTTTGCAAATGAACGATTTACGATATGGTTTTCCGATTTTACTGAGTAACTCTGTAATTTCCGTTAAATACAATTCGGTTGCCCCCACCTGTGTTCTCATTCACTACATTTGGTGTCGCTGCCTGCTCGAAGGAAGGGGCTCCCGTGGCCGAAGGAGTTGCAGGACGGAGATTGGCGGAGCTTCCTGGAGGAGTTTGGGGCCACGGTGGAGCTGGTGGGGGCTTGGGGCGGAGTTGACGGTGCTGGGGACGCTGTGGGGAGGTGAGGCGAAGGCGGTGCACGACAGCCTGGACGGTGCCACCAAGGAGACGGCGTGGGAGACGGTCACCGGGCGGCTGATAATGGAGTTCGACAGCCCAGCGGACAGGGAGGAGGCGCCGCAGAGGTTCCGGTTGGCGCGGCTGTCGGCCGATGGTGACCTGTTGGTGCTTGCTGTGGAGCTCACCGGATTGCGCCGTGAGGAGTGGACGGGGCACAGTCTTTGGCGTCGCGATTTATCGAGTGTGTGCCTGCCGCCGTGTTCCAGCATCGGGAACTTGTGGACGCTACACGTTGGATAGATGCCGAATCCATTCCAGACCAGTGATCAAGAACGATGACCGAAGTGGTAATCCAGCATAGTGTAGCGTGTCACGGAATACGGAAGGTGATATTAACTGACCAGGAGCTCTGTTTTGAAGGACCAAGACGACAGCTTATTAAAAGGGGGGACGAGTGTGGTGCTGTGTTGCGAACTACTTATAAGTAGTATATAGCGTGAGTGTCAACGTAAAGTCTGGTAGCATAATATGGGGGGAAGATCAAGAAAGGAAGAGTCAGAAAACAATGGAATTTGTATGAAACGCATGAAGAGTGACAATGGATTGATGTTTTGCAACAGGAACAGTCCAGTTCCATAGGATGAACTGATATTTTGCAAATGAACGATTTACGATATGGTTTTCCGATTTTACTGAGTAACTCTGTAATTTTCGTTAAATACAATTCGGTTGCCCCCACCTGTGTTCTCATTCACTACAATATAAGTAACATGATTTGGATTTTGAAGTTTCAAATGAGTGGTTTAACATCAAAACACATCTGTGAAAGTTAATTATCAATTTTTTTATTGATTACAATAGATTTGAATATTAATCATACAATATAAAACTACTGTAGTGGATGCTACTCACAATGTGGTTGGTATATAAGAAGTGTGTATATACAGCGGAGAGCGTCACTCTTACAAGTTGTTTTACAATCATAGGGGTACAGTGAAGACTAGAAGAGGTTTGAGAGAAAACAGTCAATAATCTGCTTGTACTGTACTGTACTGCGCGAGACTTGAAGTCGTGGATTCGATTCTATGGGGTAAAACGGCTGTCAAGTGCTGTCTAAAAATGATGTGTACATCATAATGTGTAAATAAACTGATTTTATCGACTGCAAATTTACTTCTCAATATGAAGTGATTGCATAATACACATCATGGGTAATGTTATCATTAGGTTTGTCAGGATATTCATCCAATATCCTAAGAATTATTGGTCAATTCTTATTGGTTAATTTCTACTGGTCAATTTTATGATCGTCCTAGATATCAATGTCACGCACTCCAATATTGCTTCCTATCGGTAGTCATAACTGTCAATGTCACAGACTTCCATGCTGTTTCCTATTCGACCAAAATGCATAAATACGCATTATCTGTAACATTTTATGACCAGAACCCGGTCCCGGATCCCTAGTCCGGGATACTTAGCCTCTTCTGGACTCGGAACTGGTACTTTCTGGATGCTTGTAGAATACATGTTCTACTTCAAATCAAGTCTTCTTCTTTTTACTCAATATGGGGGTTGGGACACTCGGATTAGAGTAGCATGTCGTGTCGCCGGATCCTCGCTCTTGTTTATTGACTAAGGTAAACTCGTAATAGTTCAAGCATATCAATCGACGTGTTTACGTGCATACGTAACAAGGTTAAGATTTTATAACCGTTTTATAGAAGTCATATCTAATGATGTAACTCATGTAAGGAAGCGAATCTTAAATAAATAACATAAAGCAAAGAAGGTTACAGGATATGTGAACCAAATTCTTAGGGATATAGGAATGTTAAAACGAAAAACTCAGATGTATACAGCACTTTGAACAAAAGAAAAAGTGAAGTAAACTGACATATTATAACACTAGGCAAATTGCCTAGTAAGATGATAAAATTTAGAGCAAACTGTAATCGAAACCAGGACGTTCGGGCTTGCGTGGGGACACGTGCAATCTAGACTGCAGAGTATTTTCTACCAGTCCACGAGGTTGCACAACCATCAATTATTATCTTCAATGAGTAATTGCCACACACTCAACACGATTGAATTTGACTGGTCACAGCTTATTACTAGAACTGACCTAAATAATAAGCTTCGACCGAAGACAAAACCCCTGCATTCTAACTTTGTACCATATAATTCGAAAGTTCAGCAACAACGAACTGTGGGAGAGAGAGAACAAGTCAGATTTCAGTGCAGGAGGAAATCAGGAAGAAGTAGTGGAAGTGGATAGGACACACATTACGAAAAGCACCTGACTGCGTCACAAGACAAGCCCTCACATGAAACCCTCAAGTCAAAAGGAAAAGAGGAAGGCCAAGGAACACACTACGCCGTGGAATAGAGAAAGATATGAGAGGAATGAACAAACATTGTACAGAACTGGAAAGGGAAGCCCAGGACAGAGTTGGCTGGAGAAAACTGATTTGCGGCCTATGCTCCATTGGGGGTAACAGGCGTAAGTAAGTAAGTAAGTTCACTGTCAGCTGGAAGACTTATTATATGTAAATTACAAAACAATAAGCCTCAAAAATTACTGCTAACAGTTGAAACAATCCAAACAAGATGAGAATAATGAATGCTTAATTAAACTCTAGACCATTAGGAGTCAGCAATCCAACAGTGTTTACTGTTTAACTCTCAATCAATCCACAGTCTTGCACAACTCTATTCATTGTCTACATACAGTGAGCATTGCTTCACACCCGCCGTACTTCTGTGTCCAAATGCTTTGAGGTTTCTAATGATGGTCTGTCTAATAAATAAAACACTGATCAATTCAAGTCAACAATCTTCAACCACTACTACCATGCTGCTCTGTGTTTATAGCTTTACTTCAACCGACATACACACAAATTCGTATCAGTGGCGATTTAGTGCAAAAAAACAGAAGAAGAATTTCACAACATTTTCAAAACAATATCATCACACATTAAGTTAATTAAAGTGTGGTGTGAGCTACTTATAAGTAGTATATGACGTGAGTGTAAACGTAATGTCTGGTGACAGCAGAAGATGCGGGGGAAGCACAAGAAAGGCAGGAAGAGTTAGAAGAACACACAATGGAATTTGTGTATAAAAACGCATGAATAGTGAGTGACAATGGATTGATGTTGCTTGCAACAGGAACAGACAGTCCAGTTCGATAGGATGATGAACTGTGATATTTTGCAAATTAACTAACGATTTACTAAGATATGGTTTTTCCGATTTTACAGTGAGTAACTCTGTTGTAATTTTCGTTAAATACAATTTCGGTTGCCCTCACCTGCGTTCTCGTTCACTACTACAAAAGGATTCCGAAAGAAATATCACTACTAAGAATTATCATTTTTCTCATATCTTTCTCTATTTCTCGGCGTAATGTGTTCCTTGGCCTTCCTCTTTTCGTTTTGCCTTGAGGGTTCCATGTGAGGGCTTGCCTTTTGACGCAGTTAGGTGCTGTTCGTAGTGTGTGTCCTATCCACTTCCACCGCTTCTTCCTGATTTCCTCCTCCACTTGAATCTGGTTCGTTCTCTCCCAAAGTAAGTTGTCGCTGCTAGTATCTGACCAACGAATCCGAAGTCTTTTGCGTAGACAACTGTTAATAAACACTTGTATCTTCTGGATGATAGCTTTGGTATTTCTCCAGATTTCCGCTCCATACAGTAGAACTGTCTTGACATTTCTATTGAAAATGCTGATTTTGGTTTTGGTTGAAAGTTGTTTGGAGTTGTAGATATTTTTCAACTGTAGGAGTGCAGCCCTTGCTTTGCCGATTCGCGCCCTCACATCTGAATCGGATCCACCTTTCTCGTCGATGATGCTGCCAAGATATGTAAAGGTGTTAATATCCTTCAAGGCATCTCCATCAAGAGTGATTTGGTTGGTGCATGTTATGTTGCATCGGAGAATTTTGCTTTTTCCTTTATGTATGTTGAGACCTACTGCTGCAGAGGCTGCTGCTACACTGGTCGTCTTCTCTTGCATTTGTTGTTGCGTGTGCAATAGAACAGCCAGGTCATAATAATAATAATAATAATAATAATAATAATAATTTTAAAAACACCAACCGATTTATTGTTAAACAGATGAGTTAGTTAGTTAATTAATTAGTTAATTTTATTCATTAAAATAAAATAAAGAAACAACACTTACAAAAACACATAAATCCGGTGATAAACGTTGATATAAACGAAAAAATAATGGTACAGTTTCACAATCAATAAATATTTGACGCCAACTTGTAGGAATTTGTACCACCACTAAATCATCTAACCCATTCAGTAATGATGATGATGATGTTGTAGAAGAGGAGACATCACATACAGTACTATTCACTTGACTTGATGATGTTCCAATGAAATCATATGAAAGGCAAGCATACACCAATTGTAAACTTTGATATAATAATCCATGCTATTTCATTGTGTTGTGTTGATATATAAATAAGAAATAGTAGAAGAGAAAAGAACAAACAAGATTTTTAAGTAAAAACAACAGTAATAATAATAATAATAGTAACATTTTATATCACAGAATTATGGAGAATGGCTTAAAACCTTAGGACATTACCACCTTTGTGGTATATATATAGGTTAAATGGAGGTCCTGTTGTCATTTAAATAAATGACAATAGTCAGTTATAAACAATGTACCATCAAATATAGTTCAACACTGACCTAAGTTCAGTCAGTCAGATGCAACGTAGAACTTTGTACGTATGCAGGTACATCAGTTTAGGTTGCCATATCACATTATTAGCACAGAGATGTAATTGTCAATTCAAATCCAATAGTAGTAGAAGTAGTAAAGGGATTAGAAGTAATCGGAGAGGTTAGGATTAGAAGATATTATTCAAGAAGTATGATGATTCAGTGAAATAAGTTTAGAAAGTCAAAACTAAAGGTGTTGAAGCATCCAGAAGATTAGGATTTGAGAGAATACAAAGAATAAATGCACCGGCGCCATTGCAAATGGTTTTGAGCAACGTCATTCAAGGTCTCTAACCATCGATTATTATCATCTCGCAGACCCCAACCAGGTAGCCTACATCTACCAACATAACTCAGTCCACTCGTCAATGACTTTATGGATTTCTGCCATGTTTTGGTTTGGCCGACCCTAACTTTCTTCCAACCTATTCCTACACTACAAAACAAAGCTCGTCGAGGCTGTTGGTGGTTAGGCATACGTAACACATGTCCCAAACACTTCAACTGATGAAGTGTCACTACTGAGTCTATTGATCTGCCATTCTTACCTAGCCCCTGTTTCCTAATAACAGCGTTGCTCACTCGGGTGTCCCAGGATATACGAGCAATGCTTCGAAGACATCTACGATCGAAAACCAGTAACCTACGAATATCTTCTTCTCTCACTGGCCATGTTTCACAGCCATAAAGTAAGACGGAGCGAACTACTGCACAGTACTTAGACTGATCAAAGTTAAATATATACCACCTTCGTGGTATATAGGTTAAGTGAAGGTCTTCGGTTCGATACTTGTGAGTAGCGCGGATCGTGGATACGTACTACGGATGAGTTCTATACCACTGGACGAAACGGATGTCCAGTGCTTCCAGGTTTTTAATGATGGTCTGCTTTTACGGGTTTGAAGGTGGATGTTACTTCCCAGCTTCCAACACCATGGGAGGGCGGCTCTGGTCGTCAGAAAGGTTATAGGACTCGTGACTTCCGAAGGAACTCGGCTTTCATCATCAGTCAGTCAGTTACAATGTGAAACGTCGTACATGAGTACATACGTTCAGGTTGCCATACCGCGTCAGCACAGAGACGCAACTGTCAGTTCAAATCCCATAGTGGTGGGGCTTTCATCATGAGACGCCATAACTCTTCTAAATGAATAGCTTCTAACTTCCAAGGCAGAGTTTAAATAGTTTCAATTATTTTTTCTCGCCAGCGTTTTTTTGAGCGAGTTAGTTTTCTACTGGATGGGGTGTGGTAGCCAACCCCAAGTTAAACTCTCCTCCTTTACCCGCGAGCTATGGTAGTCGATTCACGATTTCAAATGAAGAAAAATAACACTTTTGATGTGACTATTTTTAAAACTAATAAAGTGCAAAGCAATTGGGGTTAAGGTAAGCAAATCAATATCTATTGATGCATTATTGATGTAGTTGTATTTTTCAGAAAAAAAAGATTTTCTGGAAAACAGCTATTTTTAAGCTACTTTTTAGACAAAAACATAAAAGATAATCGGAACAGGAATCTGGAATTTAAAGCTGACGAAAATTTTGACGTACTAAAAAATCCGTTAATGTGATAGCGATAGAAAAAGAACGCTCTAAGCAACAAAGTTGATCTGCTCTTGTGTAGTACAGTACATAGGCTGTAGCCAACGAATATGAGAACATTACCCAGTGTGGCGGGTTCTAACAAGGGTGAGAGGAAGGCACTTGAAAGTTCCATTCTTGTACATTGAATCGATTTCAGTCACTACATTGATTCACAAGTTGATTTTACGGTTGTTTATACAATTCAGCCAAGTGTATTTAGATTTCTTCGTATCTAACTTTTTAAAACCGTAGAAACTCTTGCTACACCCATGAATTGAAACCAGAACTACTGTGTGTACAATAGTAGTAAGTTTCAACCTTATCTTTACAACTATTATCTTCATTTTATTTCATATACGGAAATATTTTCCTCTCACTTTGGTTAGCGTTTTTTGAGGGGATGGGGTCGCCAACCCCATGCCCAACCCTCTTCCTTTATCCGGGCTTGGGACCGGCAGTAACCCCGAAGGGTCTACAGGAGGATTGGCAAAGCAAGGGCTACATTTCTACAGTTGAAAAATATAAGGAACTCCAAACAAATATTAATCAACACCAAAATCAGCATTTTCAATACAAATGTCAACACAGTTCTACTGTATGGAGTGGAAACTTGAAGAACTACCAAAGCCATCATCCAGAAGATACAAGTGTTTATTAACAGTTGTCTACGCAAAATACTGAGGATTCGTTGGCCAGACACCATCAGCAACTACGTACTGCGGGAGAGAACAAGTCAGATTCCAGTGGATGAGGAAATCAGGAAGAAGAGGTGGAAGGGCATAGGACACACACTACGAAAAGCACCTAATTGCGTCACAAGACAAGCCCTCACATAGAACCCTCAAGTCAAAAGGAAAAGAGGAAGGCCAAAGAACACATTACGCCGAGAAATAGAGAAAGATATGAGAGAAATGAAGAAATATTGGACAGAACTGGAAAGCGAAGCCCAGGAAAGAGTTGGTTGGAGAAAACTGGTGGGCGGCCTATGCTGCATTTGTGGGGTAACATGCGTAAGTAAGTAAATAAGTAAGTACATTTCTCTCATTAATTTTCTGTCGATTCCTCATGAAATTATCCATATTAGTCTTTTTTGATGCCAACCTATTTCATTAAAACCCCTATATCACCTTTAACTGATGTTCATGGAAGTTATGAATCGATCAAAGTTGGACTGCCATTAGAAACCTGAAAGCACTGGATGGCCATTTTACCATTCCAGTATGGAACCAACCAGCAATGCACATTCACAACTCCCGCTAACCGCTGGAATCGGATTCGAAACCATCGGTCTTGCGCAAAAACGCTTAACCTCTGTCTGAACGATTAAGCCAGGCATTTAATTCTTTTAGTATTAATTAATGATTAGTTTTAAAAGCCTTTTCATTTGTACACACATAACTTTCTTTATTGTTATAATTTACACAATAAAATCTTTCTACCTAACAGAAAAATTAACTTAACACTAATAGCTGAGAGTAAAATCCTGAACAGGTGAACTATTTACAGATAAACACAAAACTTGTTAATTTAATGTACCTTAAATTTTAATATGCTGCTGCTGATATGATATAAACTTAAATAGTTTATACTTTGTTTTTGACTTTTCAATAGTTGATATTGATTTCATTAGAGAGTAGAGTGTTTTTCATCATAGGGTTGTGAAGATTGTTAAGTTTCATGGAAATTATGAATAGTCAGTCAGATGCAACGTAGAACTTTGTACGTATGCAGGTACATCAGTTCATGTCGCCATACCACATCAGCACTAAGACGCCATTGTCAATTCAAATCCAATAGTAGAAGAGATAGTAAAGGTATTAGAAGTAATCGGAGAGGTTAGGATTAGAAAATATTATACAAGAAATATGGTCCAGTGAGAAAAGTTTAGAAAGTCAAAACTAGAGGGGTTGAACAATCCAGAAGATTAGGATTTGAGAGGACGCAAAGAATAAATACACCGGCGCCATTACAAACGGTTTTGAGCCATGTCATTCAATGTCTCTAACCATCGATTATTATCATCTGGCAGACCCCAACCAGGTGGTCGACAATCACCGATATGACTCAGTTCACTCGTCAATGACTTCATGCATTTCTGCCATGTTTTGGTTTGGCCGCCCCTAACTTTCTTCCAACCTATTCCTTCCTACACTACAAAACAAAGCTCGTCGAGGCAGTCGGTGGTTAGGCATACACAACACACGTCCCGAACACCTTAACAGATGAAGTGTCACTATTGATCTGCCATTCTTACCTAGTACCCGATTCCTAATAACAGCGTTGCTCACTCGGGTGTTCCAAGATATACGAGCAATGCTTCGAAGACACCTATAATCGAAAACCAATAACCGACGAATATCTTCTACTCTCACTGGCCATGTTTCACAGCCATCAAGTAAGACGGAGCGAACTACTGCACAGTACACTCGTCCTTTAGTCAGCAAACGGATATCTCGACTACGCCATAAGTGACGCAGGTTGGAAAAAGCCAATCGAGCCTTCTGTATCCGAGCTGAGATTTCGTCAGTCACCAGGCCATCAGCACTGGTGAGAATCCCAAGATAAGTGAAGCGGTCTACACGCTCGACTACTTCACTAGTTCAGGTGCCGAAGAAACCCAATCTTGAAGCAACATTTTGCATTTCGACGGTGAGAACCACATCCCGAACATGCTTGCATTGTTGCTCAGGGTGGTCAGAAGACTCTGCATTTTGTCAGCGTATTCACCAAGTAGGACTATGTCATCGGCATATTCTAAGTCAATTAGCGAGCCACCTGGTAGAATGTCTACTTCTGAAAATTCAGACGAGGATAAGGTTATTTCTAGGAGCATGTCTACGATAAAATTAAACAAGAATGAAGAGTGTGGACATCCTTGACGGACACCACTTGAAGTAAAGAATTCCCGCGACAGTTCGCCATAAGCTCTCACTCGACCAATTATGAATAGATCAATGTTAGAAAACCATTAGAAACCATTAGAAGCACTGGAAAGCCGTTTCGTCCAATAGTATGGAACTCATCAGCAATGAGCATTTACGACTTCCTCCCACGGGAATCAAACCCACAAACTTCGGGTCTTGTACGCGAACTCTTCACCTCTACACAATGGAGCAGGCATTCGACGGTGTTAATGTTCAACTTCGATCAATCCACACTCTAGCGCAATCTCATCCACTGTGTTCGGTGGGCGCTACTTCACACCCGACACGGTTGAACTACACTAATCACACATCCTCACTAGAAATCGGAAAAATATCTTCACTGAGCTAGTCACTAGTGAACAAAAGATAATTTTCATCATAGGATTGTGGAGATTGTTGAGTTTCATCGAAATCGCAAAATCGGTCAATATTAGACCACCGATAGAAACCTGGAAGTATTGAACAGCCATTTTTATCCTTTAGTATGGAACTCATCAGTAGTGTGCATCCATGTTTCTCCATTGATGATCTAACATCGGTACAACGCATGCATATATACATATATATATTCAAAGACGATTGGAAAAAGAACTTCAACTCTAACAACAACACCAACATAAACAACGCAATTCACTTCACTTACTTGTTCAGGATTAGACAAATCTAATGAATTGAAACTTTGATCAGCATCTCGTAATAAATTTAAACTAAGTCGAAATATAGGCAAAAGTAATACATCACGAAATGATGCAGATCGTTTACGTTGTAAGAAAATTGCACGTGTAACATCAGACTAGAAAAAAAACAGAAATAAAAAATAAAATAAAATAGAAATGAACAAAAAAAAATTATGCACACAAATTGTTTTTTATTAATATTTTTCGTGTGAAAAAAAGTGATTACTTAATTACTTAATTCACTGACTGACTATTGATTACTTCATCAATTACGATGTTACAAAAAGTTGGGTTTAATAGCTAAATGGAAAAAAATGAATCTGTACTTAAATCAATACAGTAGATTAAATTAGCGATTGACAATCTGCCTTATTTTACTATACGCACTTACTTACTTAATGCCTTGAACATTGTTACGCCCGCACGTAAACACGTCATTTTGATATGCCTGAACTATTACGAGTTTACCTTAGTCAATAAACGAGAGCGAGAATCGAGGATCCGGCGACGCGATATGCTACTCAAATCGAACTACCACAACCCCATATTGGGTGAAAATAAGAAGACTTGAGATGAAGTAGAATCTGTATTCTACAAGCATCCAGAAAGTACGAGGTCCGAATCAAGAAGAGAATCAGGATTCCGGACTAGGGATCCGAGACCGAGTCCTGGTCGTGGTCATAAAACGTTGCAGATAATGCGTATTTATACATTTTGGTCGAATAGGAAACAGCATCGAAATCTGTGTCATTGACAGTTAAGACGATCAATAGGAAGCAACATTTGAAGTGACATTGATAGTCAGGACAACCAATAAGAAACAACATTGGAGTACGTGATATGATATCTAGGACGATCATAAAATTGACCAGTAGGAATTAACCAATAGAAATTGACCAATTATACTCTTAGAATACTGGATGAATATCCTAACATTGAAAATATGTCTAGAAGTCTAATCTTCGAAGCACTGCTCGTATATCCTAGGACAACCGAGTAAGCAATGCTGTTATTAGGAAACAGCGGCTAGGTAAGGATGATAGATCAATAGACGAAGCATTGAAACTTCATCAGTTGAGGTGGTTGGGATGTGTGTTACGTATGCCTAACCACCGACTGCCTCGTCGAGCTATGTTTTGTGGTGCAGGAATAGATTGGACGAAAGCTAGGTGCGGCTAGACAAAAACATGGCAGAAATTCATGAAGTCACTGACAGCTGGACTAAGTGATGTCGGTAGGTGTCGATTAACTGGTTGGGGTGCGCGAGACGAAAGTCACCGATGGTTAGAGACCCTGAATGACATGACTCAAAATCATTTGCAATGGCGCCGGTGCATTTATTCTTTGTGTTCTCTCAAATCCTAAACCTTTTAATTCTTCATCACTTTATCTTTATTCTACTTCTTGACTAATATCTTCTAATCCTGACCTCTCCGACTACAACTGATATCTCTACTACTATTGGATTTGAATTGACAATTACATCTCTGTGTGCTAATGTGATATGGCAACATGAACTGATGTACGTACATTCGAATTTCTACGTTGCTATTGATTTATTGATTGACTGATCGAGTGTACCGGAATGCACATAACAACGAATTCAAATCATTTGTGCTGATGTTAATGATATGAAGAAAATTTCTATTGATTGAAAGCCGTTTCATACTTTAAAATGCATTCGTGTTGTTTTATTCAAATACATAATTATTGAGTCATAACACTATACAAATTGTTGAGTAAGCTGAGACACTGCCTGAGTACCCAATCTAGAGTAAGTGGTTTTCTTAGGGAGTCCACTTCCTAAGCATCTGACCCAAAGGTCAAATCCGTAAGGCAGTAGTAAAGAAATGTTAGGAGATGCAGTCACATGGTAGCCGGTCATCAAACAATAAGTTCATAAGCCGTTAGTTCCTTCAGGATCTTGGAGCACATGTGGAATCACTGGTTTGAAATTAGGGTTTCACGAGCACTCAAAGTGAATCCTTTGTACCCACCAACCTGGTTTATAGGCCAGATAATAGCTTTTCGTCCTCTCTGTCTAATAAACTACACCTGTACAACGAGAAAGTAGTGAGTAGGACTTGTCTAGCAGGTCTAATATAAAGGTGGCTAAATGAGAAAGCCAATTGATGACCTATAGAAATGTTGTGAAGGACCAATGCATATGATTGGTCAAGAAATGATCATTTTCTAAGAAAAAGAAATGTATAAAAATGGTTATATAGCTAAATAGACTTTCTCTTCCACTACTATTTCCTTCTCACTCAAGTAGTTAGCTTGGTGGGATAGCACACACCACGTTAAGATCTCAAACCACACATCATAATAGAATCCCAGTTAGTTATATTTTGTAGGAGAATAGTTTAAAGGCACAATCTGCAGTTGCAGTCAAAACCGCGAATTAGGGAGTCTCATTGGTTCCAATAGCCTGGTTTCTAACGAAATCTCAGCACTGACACATGAAGCTCAATTGGCTTTTGCCAACTTTCGTCACTTATGGCGTAGGAGAGATATCCATCTGCTAACCAAAGGACGGCTTTACTGCGCAACAGATCACTTCGTCCTACTATACGGGTATTAAACATGGTTACTAAGGATAGATGATATTCGTAAGTTATCGGTATTCATCCATAGGTGTCCTAGAAGCATTGCTTGTATATCCAGGAACCACTGAGTAAACAATGCTGGTGTTAGGAAACGGGTGCAAAGTAGCATGGCAAATGAAAAGATGAAGTAGTCAATCCTCATCTGTTGAGGTGGTTAGGATATGTTTTATGTATGAGTAACCTTTGGCTGCCTCGACAAGCGATGTTTTGTGATGTGGAGGGTCGGTAGAAAGAAAGCTAGGGGCGGCCATACTAAAAACATGACACAAATCCATAAAGTCATGTTAGCAGATGTAGACTACCTGGTTGGGGTCCGCAAGACAACAGTAACCGATGATTAGAGACTTCGAATGACATGTCTCAAAATCTTTTGGAATGGCACAAATGCATCCATTCTTTGTTGTCACTCAAATTCTAATCTTCGGAATTCCTCATCACCTTTTCTTCCCATATCTGCGAACCCTAATCTCCATTACTGCTACATCTAACATTATGGGATTTGAAGTGACAATTACATCTCTGTGCTAATGCAGTATGGCAACGTAAACTGATGTATGTAGAGACGAAGTTCTACGTTGTAGTTAACTGACTAACTGACTATTAAATAAGATAGAAGTTTCCAGATAAAGCTTCAGTGACCATAACTTATGAAAATACAGGATAATTATTTGAATGTGCAAATAATTGATTCAACCATTTGCACAAGTAAAATGGTCGTTCATATTCTGATTGATCAATTTGTATATGATCTAATCGATCAAGAATGTGAAGGTTATACACGAAAAAGATATTGCAATATAAAAATTGCATGACTGTTTGGTTGCTGTTATGAGACAGAATGAAACTATTTTTCCAAAGATGTTCCATAGCATGAACTAGATGGATTCATGGCGAAGCGTTCATTGTCGTTCTTGAATACAATGATTTTCATTCAAACTGAATGCTAAATTGAATTGACTAGGAGCATTGCTAAATTTAAAACGATACTTGATCAAAATACCAAAGAAAGGCGACCTGAGCAAGTGTGAGAACTAAACAGGCATTACTCATCTTTCAATACCAGGCAAAGTCTTCAACAGGGTATTGTTAAAAACAGAATGAAGGACTTCGTAGACGTCCAACTTCGAGATCAACAGACCGGATTTCGTAAGGATCGATCGTGTACTGACCGAATTGCTACATTACGGATCATTGTGGAACAATCAATTGAATGGAACTCACCACTCTACATCAACTTCATCGACTACAAGAACGCATTCGATAGCGTGGACAGGAAAACACTGTCCAGGCTTCTTCAACACTACGGTGTGCCTGAGAAAATAGTTAACATCATACGGAATTCTTATGATGGATTCAACTGCCAAATCGTACACGAAGGACACCCGACCGTAGCTGCTACCTTGACGTGGTGGTCGGGCTTGCCTATCGTGATGACCCAACCGAGCTATACTGGCTGGAACATATGTTCCTCAAGGTTCTACCATGCCATACAGGTCGATTGGAGAACGATCAGACTAAAAGCAGCTACCCAAGGTCTGAGGGCGAAGTCGTACTGCTGACTGCAGAGGGGTGTGACAGCAGTAAGGTGTTTCCCTCGGACAACCAGCATCTGCAGCGATGCTGCCTTCTCACAAGGAAGGAAGGGTTAGAAAAGGTCGGCCCTAAAAATGGCACACCCCCCCTAACTCACGGATTTCCGTCTCCTTGGGTAGGGGTGCCCACTAAGGGCCTTTAAGAACGGAGCTAATCCTCAAAAAACATTTCATAAAAAGGCCGTGCGTGACCGGCCTCAGGCAGTTGTCCCTTGGGCTCTGCGGTCACGCACCCAGGTCTCTAAGACCAACACTAATCTATCTTCCTTTTCAGGTTCCTCAAGAAACAACCTTCCACGGTGTGGGCAGCCGGGAAGTGACAACCGCCCTCATACCCATAACAGCACGCGAGACCGAATTGGTCAAAATCAAATCCTTCCTACATTCCCTAATACCTCTCTTATCTCCACGACTAACTCTTCTCACATTCATTCATCACAGTGCACAGCTAATGCAGACGATACGAGTTCGCGAAACTTCGTTCCTGGTCTCCTTAAACCTCGCTCTAGACTACATGTTGGAGCATTTAATGTACGGACATTGTGTCAAATAGGGCAACAGGCTTCCTTAGCTAGGACTTTAGAATCTCGTGCCATCGATGTATGCTGCGTCTCGGTAACGCGCATACAGGATCCGAGTCACGTCATACACTTGACCACACCATGTCAAAATAAAGAAGCAGCTCGATTTACTCTTCGTGTATCCGGTAGCCCTGATGCTGCTTCCCGGGGTCTTGCTGGCGTACGCATAGCATTGAGTCGTAGGGCAGAACAATCTCTCCTTGACTGGATCCCAATAGATAGTCGATTGTGCGCAGTCCGACTAAACGGGACAGTAAGGACTCGGAAAGATAGGGACAATCGCCGTTGCCTCTTCGTCGTATCTGCCTATGCCCCCACTGACTGCAGTTCAGAC